GGTAGAAATGCACTCTATGAAAGTATGTGCAGAAGGTAGAAATGCACTCTATGAAAGTATGTGCAGAGGGTAGAAATGCACTCTATGAAAGTATGTGCAGAGGGTAGAAATGCACTCTATGAAAGTATGTGCAGAGGGTAGAAATGCACTCTATGAAAGTATGTGCAGAAGGTAGAAATGCACTCTATGAAAGTATGTGCAGAGGGTAGAAATGCACTCTATGAAAGTATGTGCAGAGGGTAGAAATGCACTCTATGAAAGTATGTGCAGAGGGTAGAAATGCACTCTATGAAGCCAAACGATTCAATTTATTAAATGTAGAAGAAACTGAAATATAATATATTTTCTAATTTGTTGAAAATATTTTTGCACAGACGAATGCTTACTAAATCCCAATAATGACTTAGGGCTCGTCCATTAACTTTGTCAACAAAATAGTGGGGAGGGGGTTTGGAAATGTGTAACAATTGTTGACAAGGGGGAGGGGGTAGACTAGTTGACGTTTCTCTATTAAAATTTTAATCTTAAAAATTGACTGGTTATTACATTATTTTAACAAATTTAATGAGTGTAAATTAAAATAATTATATAATTTTTAGGCTTATTTATTTATTGTGTGTCTGTCTGTGCACTGCTGATGGCTATTCAGAATGTTAGCACACTTTGTTAGTGCAAGAGAAGTCAAAAGTTGGCATCTCTTCGACTGTAAATTCTTTTTTTCTCAAATGAATAGGGTGGTATGTTTGCGGTCATGTTGCAGGTATGGAACAAGGACATGGTCAAGCTAAATGGCATTGATAGAGTAGGAATACGCTATTTTGAGAATTAGGGGAAAGTAAAGTGCGTAACAATAATAACAATGCTGCTTGAATGGATTTGCAGAATCTGTAACATCTATTTTGCAACACAAGTCATGTGGAAATGACAAGTTCAACAGCACCGACAATGCATAAGAAATTACCACCTGCTCCTCAACAAAAAATGATTCGACTAATGCAAGTAGCTGACAGGAGACAGAGAGAGCTTCTGGCAATTATTGCTCACACTGACAATTCTTCTATTTTAAGGGCTGAATGGTTAGATGGGGATGATGTTGACTTGTCTGGTGCATCAGTTCCGCAGGATGAATATGATAAATCAGCTACTATGCCCATTGTTACAAAAGAGCAACACCTGGCTACTCCCTGGGAAGATGATAGCAGCTAGAAACTATGCTATAATTGTCAGCTATACTGACAATAGTCATAATTATACGTCCACAAACAATGATATTTAGTCTTTAACAGCCTTTTTTTAATGAGTGGATGAATGAGTGAGGGAATTAGTGGATGAATGAGTGGATGAATGAGGGGATGAATGAGTGAAGGAATGAGTTGATGAATGGGTNTTTTATAATTTATTGGGGGGGGGGGGATAGCCAAATATTGACATAATTACTTAAGGGGGGTCAAGTAAGTTTGACAGTTGTTGACCAGGGGGGGGGGGGAATTGCTTTAAAATTGTTGACGTAATTAATGGACGGCGCCTTAGCTCTCGTATCCAGAAATTTTTTTGAAAGAAATTTCATCGACGGAAGTTTGATCGAACGGAAATTTGATCGAACGGAAGTTTGGTCGAAAGGAAATTTGATTGAACTTTTATTTCAGT